CCTTGCTTCGTTATTTCTGTTTTAAACAGATCCAGCATAATCAAACTGTATTTATAACATTACACCTAGTTTTGTATGTAGCTTGTAACCTTCACAAGGCTCCCGAGGAGCACGAGCCTCTCCCCAACGCAAACGGGAAAACTCACGTGACTTGCTCACAATGCCAAGGTTCAGCACAACATCAGCAAACAGAGCACAGGGGTCCCAACTCTCAGTTTCAGATAACGGAGAGATACCGCACCTCTCCTGTAGAGCTGATAGCGTTCCTGAGAGAGAGCAATCCCTTCTGAAAGCCATTCAAAACTGCTCCTTTCTAATTTCTATGCTTGTACTAACAGTAGAAATTAATCCTTAAATATGATGTTTTTGTTTAGGCTTAAAGCCATGTCATTAAACACTTAAATGAAGCTTAGTTTTAAAGTGAAGCACAGTAAAAGAAGAAAGTTTTCGATGAAGATTTGTTAGTATTACTCCATATACTAACTATATCAATTATATTGCATCTATCCAAACATAGTATTAAGTGCAGAATTCAAAAGAAATCTTAAAACCATGCCTTAAAGGAGAAGAGAAACAGCTGTCATTAAGATGTCCTCTCCCATCCACAAATACCTAAACATTTTATTTCACTCACAGTGGAGTAGCTGTTTTTCATTATTTCTTTTAGTTATCTGATTTCATGCATCAGGGCAAAGGAGATTTCCTGTAGGAATTGTAGGATATTTTTATCTTCTAAATAGAGCACTTCATATCATCAGGAATAGTGCAAAGCACACCTGGACCTTGCAGATACTAGCTATCAAACACAGAGGATGGCATTCCTCTGAAGAATCAGCTCCTGGTTTTTTGCCATGATTCGGATCTCAGATTTCATATTGTAATAATCATCTCGGTATGCAAAGCTATACATCCCTGAAAATGCATTTTCCCCAGATTTAGTAAGATGTCCTTTGCTCCTGTCACTCTACCCGAATCCACGCTCTCCCCACTTCCACGCAAATCTGCCAGACTGGTCTCTGCAATATCCTAAGGCTGCATCCCTCCGTCTGAGTCCAAGTGCCCGTGATTACTGCCAGCCTCCTTTTCTTCACTCTGCCCACCATAACTTCTGTCTGTAAAATCTAGCCGTTACCCTCCTACAGGATCATCTTATGCGCCTTCTACCACTACAAGGTACCAAATTGGGATACAAGTTTCTCCACTACCCCTGGGAGATGAAATTACCCCTTCTCTTGAAAGCTGTCCTGTTTGCAACCCATTTTCTCTGCTAAAGAATGAAGCCTTTGCCAAGGTTCTTCTTGTCCAGTTAGTCCCTCTTTACTTCCCATCCACAGAGCTGAACATATCTGTAACAAACACTGGCCAATCTTCTTCCCTCACAACTTCCAAAAGATGGTCTCACTTCTGCCTAAAAGTTTTGACATCTGTTTACTCGGTGTTGCACCGTAGTGGATTATCCCAGACGAAATATCATCATCACTCGATATAGGGACATACTTAGCATAGCTCACCTACAGCTTCATGCAAGCTTCTGCTGCTTGGAAACAACATTTAAAGATATCTCTCTCCTTCAGCCATGCTTTTATGGACTTTGAGGTGCCACCCAGGCAAATTAGCACAGATGGCCCCTCTCTTCAAACACAGATTCAAAAGGACTCGGAGAAAAGGGTGGTTGAAGGGGCAATAGGATGACCCAAAACATTTATCTTTATTAAGCTCAGTTCTCCAAGAGGAAGATACTGAGAAAGCTTCATAACGAAACGTTACCGCATATCTGATGAGTCTCAGGGACACAGCAGTAGGGGCAAGCCAGAGGCAGAGCAAAGCCCTTTCAGGGCTTCAAAGGGAGGGAGGCCCAGAGGAGACCGAATCCTGCTCCAACTCTGTACGTCGCCTTCCCCATCAGGGGTCCAAAGTCGATCCCAGCACCAGCCACCTTCCCCCCAGCCCTGAGGATACTCTTCTCGCAGTAAGACTTTTGCCTGCCTGCTCGGCACAGAGAGGCAGCTGAAGAAGGTGTTGCTCTCCCCGGGTACTGCTGAGCAAACTAGGACACAGTAGGGCCAGCCTAGGTGCTTGCTGGCCTCTCCTAGCACATCGCCCAGCCTCCAGGGAGACCCACCTCACTGCTGGCCACCTCCATTGGGCTGCCAGCCCCCCAGAGGGGTCCCCTGCTCATGACCCCC